GATGGGAGCAGATGATTTGATGCATGAGAGTAGCATGATTATAGGAGTGTGAGCACACTGATTAAGGGGGGAGCACGTGACTGAGGGGATGGCAGTAATTGTGGGGGAGTGTGAGCAGCAGGACGTATTTTAGGTACGCACTGAGCAGTAACTGTGAGTGAGTGGAATTTCAGCCGGAGTTAGTTTGTGAAAGGGGAAAAACCCCAGAATTTGGGGACTGACACGATTACCTGAGGAGTAACCTGAGGGTTTCCGGGGATCAACACCTCTTGGCCCTCCATACCAGGCGATTAGTGAGGGGGTTAGGAAACAAGAACAACTGCTAAGTAAAAAACAGAAAAAGTGACTACAGGTTAGTGGGAACCAGGAATGTGTGAGTGAACCCCCCACTTTTTAGCCACTTCACTCCCACCCCTTACAGTTCAGGCTCCCCGCTTCCCCACTGCCACTAAGTCTAGGGACCTGCTTCACCGCTTTTCCCCCACATCTGGGCATCCATTGCGGGGGAGTGAAAAAAAACAAGCAAAAAAAATTGAGGGGAAATTGGGGGAAGCAGGAACAAGAATGGGTGATGGGGGGAGGAAAAAGTATGATAATTTGGGGAAGCAGGGCATGGACTTGTGGGGAGTGGGGAGAGGCAGAACAGGACTGGTGTGAGTGGGAGGCAGGGAAAATAGACTGTGTGAATGGGGGAGGGGAGGAATATGGGCTGCTGTGAGTGGGAGAGAAGGGAAAGTTGATTGTGTGGTGGGTGGGAGAGGGAGGAACAGGACCCGTGTGTGAGTGGGAAGAGGCAGAACCAAAATACTGTGTGTAGTGGAGAGCAGAACAGGGCTGTTGGGTGGGAGAGGCAGGAACATGGACTGTATGAATGGAGAGGGAGGAAAAATGGAATGTTGTGAGGGAGAGGGGAGGGAAAAGGACTGTGTGGAGTGGAGAGGAAGGAAAATGGACGTGTGTGAGTGGGAGAGGCGAAAATGGGCGTGTGAAGGGAGAGGCAGGGAAATGGGCTGGTGACTGGAGAGGGGAGGAACAGGACTTTTTGTGATGGAGAGGAAGGAACATGGGCTAGTGTGAGTGGGGGAGGCGGAACAGGGCTGTGTTTTTAGTGGGAGAGGCAGGAACATGGACGTGGTAGGGGAGAGGCAGGAACATGGGCTGGTTTTGAGTGGAGAGGAAAGGAAAAGGCGTGTGTGAGGGGAAGGCAGGAACATGGCGGTGAAAAGGGGGAGGCAGGGAAAAAGACTGTGGGGACTGGGAGACAGGGAAAATGGGCGTGTGAGTGGAGAGGAAGGAACGGACGTTGTGAGTGGGAGAGGAGGAACAGGATTTGGTGAGGGGAGAGGAAAGGGAAAATGATGTGTGTGAGTGGGAGAGGAGGAAAATGGACTGTGTTGAGTGGGAGAGGAAAACAAGGGGGTGTGAGGGAGAGGAGGGAACATGGACTGTGTGATGGGGGAGGGAGGAACATGGGCTGGGGTTAGTGAAGGGAAACAGGACTTTGTGTGAGTGGGAGAGGCAGGAACATGGACGGGTTAGGGGAGAGGCGGGAAAATGGAGTGTTAGTGGAGAAACAAACAAATTGTTGAAAGAATGGAAAAAAGCCCGGGCTAGAGATACAGCAAAGAAATCGTGGGAATGGACGCTCCCCGAGCACTTACTTGGTAGATTTTTCCTAAAAAAATATTTTTTTTTTCTCTCCCCTTACTTTCTCAAAAATCCATTGATAAAAACCCAATAGAAAGCAATATAGGCAGGCTTAAACCAAAAAAATCTTAAAAAATAATCAACAGTTTTTCAAACCCAAATTAAAAAAGAAACCAAACAACTGTACTTTCTCCAGCAGTTCACTGACACAAGAGAGATAAAAAAAAGACCTGGGAAAAAACTTTTCCCCAAACGGGGACCCACACTGAAAAAAACAAGAATATTGTTTTAACAAACCCATAAAAACACTCACAAAATCTAAGAACCATTGCAAACAAACCAACACCGGCCGGGGGTTGAACCCGCGGGCAAATCTCAAAAAAATCCCAAATTCCCCTTAGCCACTAGACCAGCTCCCCAAAAAATTCTCCAACGGGATTTCTCCCATGGAAGTTGCATAAGGGACCACTGTGACCACAAAACAAAAATTTTTTACAGACGAATCTCCCGCTAGCGGGCCCTGACACTCTAGCTCAAGTCCCCTCACGCCTGGGTAACCGACGGGCTGGAGTTTTTAGACCTCTGACCCGGGGTTTAATCCCGGCCGGGTAGGTTTGGTCATGAAACACCAAATGCTCCCACTGAAAAAGCAAAAAAAGATAAACCTTTTTCTCAAACAAGATCTAATCTCCCCCTAAAACCCATGACCAATGCCCGGCCGGGGGCTACCAGATGGAATTTCCCAAATTTCCTTCTATCTTGTACCAACAGAGCCCCCGAACACCGCATCAAAAGCACTTAAAAAAAAACTCGGAATCGTCTCACTCCCACCCTATTGAAAAAACGAGCCCCAGTCCTTTCGCATACTTTCCTTTCTTTTTTAACAAGTCACAGAAACTAGCACTTTTCCCCACACTACTCAAAAAGCAAGGGTTTAAAGCCAATAAAAAAGGGGTGGTGACCCCAAGAGTAAACAACTATAGCCAATACAAACTTACCCTTGCAAAACCAAAAAACTTCGAGAAACCATGCACAGGGACTATATTCTTTTAAAAAACACAAAAAAACCCAAACCCCTGCCAATTTGGATTCGGAAAAATAAAACATAATGAGAAATTATAAAAATGTACACCTGCTTTAACAGCATGGAAAATAAGGAATACTGCTAGAATTTTGTTGACCTAAGAAAAGCATTTGACACATAGACCATGGCCCCACTCCAAAAAATTGACCACATGGAAAAGGGCCATGTGCTGGATTACCTGGATTATGGAAGACCGGGGGGGTCAACGCCCCCGCCCCCCGGTCTGAGACCGGGCCCCTGGGGAATCAAGCCTGACAACCAGGCTGTTGCTGCGGCTGCACGAAAAACCAACAACGAGCCACAGCCCGGCTGATCCGGAACTGACTTTGGGTGTTGCCCGTCCCCAGCTTGAAGAGCCGGGGTCTGTTGGTAACCCCCCCTTATTGTGCGGGGGAGGCTTTGGGAAACAGTTGGGCCCCGACACTTATTGTATGGTTCTTAAGGCTGTGACCCCCCTGTTTTTCTTTGGGGGGGATGGTGCATCGTCTCCCAAGTCTTTTGTTTTCGATGGGTGTTTTTTTGTGGCAAGTTGGGTAAGTCCCTTAGGATTTTCCAGGGATATAATCATGTATCTCCCCTCCCGCGTTTCCCGGGAAATACAGGTTTAGGAACCTCAAAAACGCTCCCAATAAAAAGGTGTTTTTATTTTCCCTTAGCGCGCCCGGAAAGTTCCTTTTACTTTTTAAAGGGCGGCAAATTTTTCCTGCCCTTTAAAAGGGGTGTTTTGTCAGCAATATTCCACCTAGATAAACAAACCTGAAGAGTGTCTCATGGGGTTGGCCCCCCCTATTTTGAAGGTTCTTTATCCTTCTGTCAATTTTTTTAGCAGAGGATTGTTTCATGTTATGGTCCTTGAAGGTGAGATCCCCGACATTTTAAAACCAATTTCTTTAGGTATCGTATGTCACCATTAAAAAAACAGCCTCTCAAAACGGCCCTGTACTTGGACCTGCTCTTCCTCTTTTTCACATGATCTTCCAAACAAATCCCCAAAATCTAAACCCCTTCTCTTTCTGAGACATGACTTTTGTCATCTCCCACCCCAATCTGCCACCCTCAACACCATTTTTAAAGGGAGCTGCTCAAAATATCGCTTGGATGACAGCCAAAAAACTTACACAACACTGCAAAAACCCATATATTTATTTTGGAGCAAGCGGGGTTTTCGCAAATTAACTTAAGATCAACAACCCTAATTGCAGGGGCTAATAGGGCAAAATTTCCCTTGGCCCTTTCCCACCCAAAAACCAAAATTTCAGAACCCATATCCAACAATAAAAAAAAAGTATCCAAAACGGGGGGGATTTTCCCAAGATACAATATTTACACCGCAAATCCCTTCCACAATATCATTCACTTTATAATCCATATTTTACCTATGCTATCTGTGCTTGGGGTCAACTGCACAACACACCTAAATCCAATGAAAACCCCAACAAAAACTGCAGTAAAATAATCACTAAACCCCACCCGGGCAACCCCCCCCCCCTCACCTTCAAATCAAAATTACTCCCTTTCAGAACACCACCTACACTGTGAAATCTATATCTACAGGCCCCAAAATTTCCAATATTAACCTTCCCTAAAATGCTTTTTTGATATTGGACAGGATCCACGGGCAAACACCAACACAAACATCTCAGACATTCCCCTTTTCGACAAACCTTTACAAAAATTAAATGTATTTCAAAGGACCTAAAATCGGGAACACCCTACCTGAAACTCAGAACTGCAGACACATTCATCACTTTCAAAACTACAGTTAGAAACATCTTATCTCCCTGATCCACCCCGACAACTAACTACATGATAACCACCTGGGTGGTTCAAAATACACTCACTCACCCACTGACTATAAACCCGAAATACTAATCTTAATCTTAAAAATAAAAAAATCCTAACTATCATAAGTTTGCCTATGATACTTAAATATAAACACCTTGTATTGTGCCAAAACAAAAGCATTCACATTGCTAAACTCACAAATTATGATGTAGTCACTTAGCCTTAATACCATAATCTGTAAGGATTTAATGTTAAGAATTAATCTGAGTCTGCTCAAAATGCCTAGCCATGCTAGGTGTCCTAGTGGCCCCCTCTGTAATTAGTATTTTATAACATGTAAACCACAAAATACCCAAAACCTGTAAACCCCACATTGTAACCATTATAGAGAATAAACTTGAATATTGGGTTACTTGCGAAATGTTCCAGATACGATATTGTGAGTTTTATTTTTCTTAAGGTGTACTTTCTTGTGGCTTCACAGTATGTGCATGACGGATCAGAACACCTACAGGACACGTTCAGTATTGTGGCAGTGTCTGGGGTGCGCCAGAGTGTTCCAGCGCTGGTCAGTGTGTCTGTACGGGGCATCAACGACGAAGCACCCTTTGTCATCAACAACACTGGTCTCACCATTTGGGAAGGCAACACATTGTTTATCTCCTCCTCTAACTTAGGTATGTATGTACCAACCCTGCTCGGCTCTCCTATGGAACTCATTACGACCATGTAACAAGAAACTGGGAGGAAAAAATTTGATTCATATGACTTCTAGCAGAGAAAGGCCTAAGCAGAACCTGTATTAGTATGACCTACTGAAACTTGGTATGAACATGGGGACATAACAATGGGGCCCACTACGGGAGGCCTATTGGCCTATACTGGGCAGGTCCTTATCAAACTCAATTCTCTAAAATAACTGCCAATCAGATCTCAATGCTATCCAAGTAAAAAGCTTTATAACCCTACTTGCATGATAGTAGGATTGCTGGTGTCTTTTCTGTCTCATAACAGTAAGGTTGCAGGTATGTCTTAACTACTTCTACTACACTTACGTAGGTCACACAACACATACATGTACAAGCATATATATATATACTAACCCCTCTGGGTTTTCTTCTTTTTTCTTCCTAGTTTTTGTTCTTTTTTTATTTGTGCTTATCTCCAGGGGGAAGTGGGGACAGAATTCTTCCTCTGTAAGCTATGCATGTTGTAAGAGGAGACTAAAATGCCAGGAGCAAGGCTAGTAACCCCTTCCCTGTATAAATTACTAAATTTAAAAGAGAAATTTTTGTTTTTCTTTTTGGGCCACCCTGCCTGGTGGGATACGGCCAGTTTGTTGAAAAAAAAAAAAAAAAAAAAAATATATATAATATAAAATATATATATAAAATATATATAAATATATATACATATATATATAAAAATATATATATATATATATATATACATATATATATATACATATATATATATACATATATATATACATATATATATATACATATAATATATACATATATAACATAAATATATATATAATATATATATAAATATATATATATATATATATATATATATATATTTTTATATATATATATATATATAATATATATATATTAAGTAAGTAAGTAAGTTTATTCAGGTATACACAAATACAGTTACATAGAATTTATCAAACATAGCACATATGTGTAGAGAACCTAAAGGGTAACCCAAAAAAGTCAGACAGAGTGACTTATTTCCATTGGGCTCCTGTGTATTATATATATATAATATATATATATATATATATATATATATATTAATATATATATATATATATATACACATACACATACATACATACAGTTTACCCTCGACTCAATGCTGCATCACTAACGCCAAAATTGGCTAAAGGGTCACTTTGGTGTCAAATATTGGCATGGCCAATTCCAAAAAAAAATCGGGTAAGGGCCTTTATCCTGCACGTGCCCACGCGGCGTGGCCTGAGCGGCCAGGCCACTCCGGGCTCTGTGTATAGCCAGTGTGCCTTTGTTTACAAGCTTTGCGGTTTGATTCCACGCTTTCTGCATTATTTTGTTTATTCCATTTTTTAGTGCTTGTAACTGCTAAAAAGCCACCAGGGGCCCCCAAAAAGTTTTTAGGCCAACCCTTTGGTAAAGGTGGAGAAACACGATAAAAATTCAAGAAAAATTTGTAGAAAAATACGAAAGTGGTGGTAGTGTGGTGGTATGGTTGTGATGGGGGTAGAGGGTGGTAGTGATGGGGTGAGGGTGGTAGTGGAGTGTGGTGGTAGGGGTGGTAGTGGTTGTGATGGCGGTAGTGGTTGTGATGGGGGTAGAGGGTGGTGTGATGGTGTAGAGGGGGGTTTTTAAGTGATGGTGGAAGGGGGTGGTAGTGATGGGGGTAGGGGTGGTCCAGTGACTTTTAAGTGGTAAAGGTGGATTAAAACCGAGAAGGGAGGTAACCCAGAAAAGGACTTGTTCCCTGCAGTCTTTAGGGAAAAGGGATTTCCCTTCCAAATTGTAAACTCCCCCACCCTCGCCCCCCCCTTTTCATACTCATCAGTAATTCCTCAAAAAAGGTAAGTGTGATTTCAGTATTTTTTATTGTGCATGCTCTTTGTTTTCTGTGTAGGGAAATGCATTTTTGTAAAAAAAAAAAATTATTTTATTTAATATTTTTGGGTTCGGGAAAACGGTTTAATTGGATTTCCATTTTTTATGGGGAAAATTAATTTAGTAAACGCTGAATCGGCTGAAGGCTGCCTCTGGAAGGGAATTGCAGCGTTAGCGAGGGCCACTGTATATCTATATGTATATATATGTTTTTTAATTTTTATATATATATATATAATTATATATATATATATATAATATATATTTATATAATATTAAATATATATATATATATATATATAGTATTTTGGTCCTAGGTAGAGGTTGGTAGACGAAAACCCCCCAGGGAAGTACTACCGCCCTGCCCAGATGCCCTGTAAAACAAAAACCTGTAACTGTTTTGCATGATGGTGGGGATGCTGGTTTCTTTTTCTGTCTCTAAACAGCTAGAAAAGGGTATTTTGTACTCCACTTACACTTTGGTCACATTCCAGACACGAATGCTATATTTATACATACATCTGGGTTTTTCCCCTTTTTTCAAAATAGCTTTTGTTTTTTTATTTCTTCTATTGTCCATGGGGAAGTGGAAAAAGAATTTTCCTCCGTAAGCCATGCGTGTCGTATGAGGCGAAAAAAATGCCGGGAGCAATGGGCTAGTAACCCCTTTCCTGTAACTTTACTAAAAAAAAGAAGAAGAAAAAACTTTATAAAATTGGGATGTTAAATGGCGTGGATGTAGTGCGGATGACAAAAAACAGATGTTTTGCGATGTTATGAATAAAAAGAAGTTGGAGCCCTGGTTTAAAGGAAAAAAGCTAAAGGGGGTAGGAGAATTTCAGTGGGGGGAAATAAATGGGTTAAATTGGGTTCTGAGAGAGTTAGGAAAGGGAAAGGGGGGTAGAAGTAATTTTAAAAATGATCAGTTATGGAAGGGAAAAGAGAATATGAATGTGAAATTTAAAAGAATTATGTGGATTAAAGTAAGGTTGGATGGGGAGAAGTGGGTCAAAAAGGGGTTTTTATGCACCTGGAGAAGAGAGGAATGCAGAGGAGAGAGAGAGATTTTGGGAGATGTTAAGTAAATGTTAGGAGCCTTTAAACCAAAGGAGAGGGGTAATTGTGGTAGGGGACCTGAATGAAAAGTAGGGGGAAACTTTTAGAGGGGTGGGGGTAGGTAATTTTGGGGGGTCCCAGGTGAAAATGATAATGGGAACCCCTTTGATTGAACTTTGTTTAAAAAGGGGTTTTTTATGGTAATAATATTTTAAAGAAAAAAGGGGTAAATAAAGTATCACGATATGATGTGGGGAAATGACGTAGTTTGTTGGATTATGTTTTGGTAGTAAAAGATGTTGAGTAGATTTCAGGTGACTGTTATAGAGGGGCCACAGAATTCAGATCACTTTCTAGTTGTAGCTACACTGAGAAAAAAAGGGTAGATGGGTAAAAGGAGAATAAAGCATCGGGAAGGAGGGGTTTTAAGGGTTTAAAAACAAAAAAGAGGAGGAGTTAGGGTAAGATATAAACAGTATTGGGGGATAGAGGGGAAATGAGAGCATAGGCAATGGGGTCGAAGAGGTATGGGGTAGGTTTAAAAATGTAGTGTTAGAGTGTTCAGCAGAATTTTTGGGGTTTTAAGGAAAGTGGGGGGCAGGGGAAGGGAGTGATTGTGGAATGATGATGTAAAAGGAGTAGTAAGGGAGAAAAAGTTAGATATGAGAATTTTTACAAAGAAAAAGTGTGCAAGGAGGGGAATTATATGGAAAAAAGAGAGAGGTTAAGAAAAGGGGTGAAGAAATGAAAAAAAAAAGAGCAAATGAGAGGTGGGGAGAAGTTTAAAAAAAAATTTTGTTGAAAATAAAAAAAAAGTTTTGGAGTGGATTAAAAAGTTAAGAAAGCCTAGAGAACAATGGTTTTTGTCAGTTAAAAATAGGAGGGGAGAGTTATTAAATGGAGGTTAGAGGTATTGGGAGATGGGGGGAAATTTTTTGAGGAATTTTTTTAAATGTTGATGAAGATAGGGAAGCTGTGTTTCGTGTTAGGGCAAGGAGGAATAACTTTTGTGGAGTGAGGAAGACCAGTTGTGGGTGGGGGATTTTCGTAGGCAGGGGAAAAAATAAAAAGGGGGTAAAGGGCAGCCGGGATTGAGGGATAAAGATAGAAATGTTTTAAAAGCGGTGGGGATATAGTTTTTGGGGTGGTTTGGTTTTAATTTTTTTAAAATGTAGGAAAAGGGTAAGGTACCTAGGGATTGGCAGAGAGCATGCATAGTTCCTTTGTATAAAGGCAAAGGGGATAAAAGAGAGTGCAAAAAATTTTAGGGGGTAAGTCTGTTGGTGACCTGGTAAAATGTTGGTAGAGTTATAATTGAAAGAATTTTAAAGGGAAGACGGGAATAGGTGCAGATGAACAAGGGGGCTTTTGAAAAGGTAGGGGGTGTGTGGACCAGGGTTTTCGTGAAAAATATAAGTGAACAGTTTTAGAAAGGCTAAAGAGGCTTTGTGGCATTTTATGGATTTGGAAAAAGGCGTTGACGGGTGGATAGGGGGGCAATGGGCGAGTTGCAAGGTATGGTGTAGGAGGGAGGTTACTGAAAGCAGTGAAAAGTTTTTTTCGAGGTAGTGAGGCTCAAAATTGGTATGTAGGAAAAAGGGGAAAATTTTTTCCCCCTAAAAGTAGGCCTTTGACAAGGATTGTGATGTCACCGTGGTTGTTTAAATATTTATAGATGGGTTGTAAGAGATTTTAAAAGCGAGGGTCTTGGCAAAGGGCGTGGGGGTTAAAAAGATAAAGAAAAACACACAAAAGTGGGAGTTGTCAAGCTGTCTTTGCTGTGACACTGTGCTCTTGGGGAGATTCTAAGGAAACTGCAGAGATTTTGGGGGATGAATTTGGTTAGGGTGTGCAAAAAAAAAAATTTTTAAAAGTGAATACAGGAAGAGTAAGGGTTTTGAGGATAACAAAAAGATTAGGGGTGAAAGATTGAATTCAGTTGGAGGGGAGGGAGTATTGGGGGAGGTGAAGTATAAAGAAATTTGGGGTGGAGTGTAGCG